TGGTGAATAAAGTTATGTATTGCGCAACATACAATAGGGATTTGTCTTTGCCTATTAAGTGGATAATTGGTAATCAATTTCAAAATAGAATATCTTGCCTTTAAAACTCCAGTGCAACATTCAATAATGGTACACCACAATGAGTGTACATAGTTGAACAATTCTTCATTCCCACATAGTTTTTAAAGACTAAATTAAACAATTCATTTATATTTTAGTTTCACCGGGGCCGTGTGGATCGAGGCTAGGGCAGACGCTCCAAAATGGGGCTCGGGCTTTTTCATGGCTAAGCCTGAGCCAGCAAGCCATGTTGACATGGCTATATGTAGATAGCAGCATTGTTTAATTTTATTTAACTCTTTATCGAATAAAGTCATTTTTAATTTTTGTAGAAATAAAGTCTTTCAAAATTTTGAAATTAAAGTTAAATGAAAAGTTTTTAAAAAAATAAAAGAATTAATAAAATAAAGTAAAATAAAATACTTTGGAAAATAAAAAAATTAATAAAGTGCATCTATGGAAGACAAAAGAGCAGAAGAAAAAATTCAACCATTTAAAAATTAAAAAAAAAAAAAAACTAGACACACGATAGGGCTGTAAAAGGATCGGATATGGATCAGATCTGCCTATATCCAATCCGAGCCGATAAGAAAATTATCATATTCGATCCAATAATCCAATGGATATTTGATAGTTAAATCCGTATCCAATTTGCTATATTATCAGATATCCGATCCGAAATTAATAAAAATTAGGACAAAATCAATGTTGGAATCAAATCATCATACATTAAACAAAAAATTGAAAATCGTCAAATAAACTGTTAAACCGACCGGTTAACTATAAACCGAAAAATCAGATCCGATTTTTCCAAATATAATGATTTTATGTTCTTTAAAAAAATTTGAACTAACTTGAGATCCACATATTTTTACTAACAAGCCTAATAGTGACTTCTACCATCACAATGTTCCTTTGTAAAGGAGAGATTATCTTCTAATTTTCTATTGACATTTGATATAGGATAAGGTAAAATTGAATGTCAATTCTAAATATAAATACTTTATTTCATTATTTCCATTAACAAATTAAATTATTTATTATATATTAATTATTAGTTTTTGAAATTGTAAAATAAATTACAATAATTAATTAATTAAGAAAAATATAGATATTTATTTACGTTAAAGTTTTTATAATATTTTACATTTATGTGTATAGTTATTTATTCAATTTGACAACCGGTTCAATACCGATTCGACCTCGATTCGACTTTTTGACCATTGACCCTCTTCATTTTCTGGGTCGATACTTGGGTCGATTTTTAAAATATTAGTTGAAATCAACATTTTTTTTCAAATTTTCTAATTCTTAAATATGTTTAATAATTATAAATTTTTCAACTTTTTTATGTTTTAAATTTGATTACTTTTTAATTCTAAATTTATTTATTTTTTCATTTATTTATTTTAGTGACAAATGATATGCCACCATAAAAATATTTTACTAACTTAATTATTTATAACAAATCGGATTGGATTGTTATTGGATTGGATTGACCTATATCCATATTTGATCGATTTGGTTAACAGATTATTAGATTCGGATATTGATTGGGTTATCGGACTAAGGCCCAAAATCCATCTCCCATTACTTTCGTCAGATTCAGATCAAAATTCAATTCATTGATAGCGTTGTGAGACACTTTACTCGAGCTTCTAGCCTAGGTGAACTTTTTAGAACACTGGCGCAATATTGGCTGATAATGAGAAATTTGAAGTTAAAGGTTCATGTACTATAAAAGTTGAAATGTTTGATAGAGCGTTGCGATTATTGACACTGATTGTGCATATCCCAAGACTAAAGCAATGTTAAATAACATTGGGAGTGCTACACACATTGGGTTATGAGTATCTACATGCTCCGATGAGATGAATCTCAAAAAAGTTCTTCGATGACTATGAAAGGTAAAGAGCTTAGCAATTTGTATGGACTAATGGATAAAAAGAGTTATGGGTAAAGCTATAACGACGAAGTCACACCGTTATGGAGAAGTGGTATTGGAGTCGTACCGAGGTAGATTGTTGATTATCGAGTCACAAAGAGAATGGTCTTCCATTGCTGCCAAATATTGTGAAGTGGCTAAGATAGTTTTGTGGATAGCGATAAGAAGAATGAAAATTGAAGTTCAAAAATGTCAAATTATTCACATTTTAGAGGATGAATGAAATTGACCCATTAATAAAAGATGTACATATAAAGTCACACAAGAGTTAAAAAAAAGGACGATGATAGAAATAGAGATACGGATAGATTTAGAGAGAGAAAACAAGAATGAGAAAACCATTACGCGTTACTCTTTGGTGCAGCAATTCCACTCACTTCTATTGCAGCCTTTAAAGTCCATCCCTCTTACCTTCCTCTCTCTGTATCTCTATATCTCTTATTTGAGGTTTCCATTCCCTAAGTTATGCCTCCATTGGGCTTAAGGTAGGTCCACCCCTGAATATGGATACCTAGATGTACCATGATGCGAAGAATTAGAATCAAGGTGAAGATATTGAGGTCTAGCCAAGAACGACCAAATACAAAAATTGATGATTAATGATCTAGCCAAGAAGAGAGAGAGAGAGAGAGTTTTGTCATATTGTAATTGTAACGCTTTGTCAAGATGAGATACGTGAGTTTAAAACTTGGGCTAGAACTTAGGTTGAATTTTTATGGGAAACGTTCTACAAGAAAAAGATAAAAAATTAAAAAAAAAATGGAAAATTTCATAAACAAGATTTCATAAGTATCACATAAATGGAAAATTTCATAAGTATCACATATTTCAAAACTCAAAAAACAAGTTTCAACTTTCTAAAATCAGATTTTTTTAAAATTTTATTTATGAAATAATAAATTATTAAATCAATTTATTGTTAAATATTTAATTATAATATAATGTAATTAATCCACCTCACCTCCACCACTCCTACCGCTCCGGGGACCGTTCCGGTCACCACTCTTCTCGACGATTGTTCCGACAACCGTTCCGGCCACCTCTTTTCTCCGACAACCATTTTGATTCCGATGACTATTCCGGTGATCGTTCCAGGCTTTCAGCTTTGAAGTTTGGTCACAGATTCACAATTTAGTTAGTCACATATTAATTTTCGGTCACAAATTAGAATTTTCATGTCACAAATTATTTTACAATCACATCTCAAAAAAATTGTAGGTCACAATTTGTTCATCAATCACAAATTGATATGTCACATATTTTCTTTGGTCACAAATCACAAATTTTATAAGTCACGACTTATTTTATGGTCACTGTTCAAAAAAATTATAGGTCACAATTTTTTTATCGATCACAGATCAAAAAATTTGTAGTTCAGGGATTATTTTGATGTCACGAATCTAAAATTTTATAGGTCACAGATCAAAAAATATTATATGTCACGGGTTACGTATTTTCAAATTTATTGGTCACAGATTTCTTTTTTAGTTACAAATTATAAATTTTAAAGTCACGGTTCAATTGCTAGGTTACGGACATCAAAAAGAACTACCAACGCCGTTGACTCAACCACAACAATAACAAAAAACGACCACCACCATATGGATCACCATCACACGACCGCCACCACCGTCCAAAAGATACCTCCACAGATCCACCACCTCCACAACCACACATCTCTAGTTCTGCGACATTTTTCCAAAACCAGACCACATCTTCGCGATGGCTGCAACAAGATCCACCGCCCCACCACAAACAGTCGGTCACATACATCGGCACCATAGACACCACCTCCACCCCGTCGTCGCCACCAGATCTACCGCCCATCCCATCACCGCGGACAACACAGATCTCCACACCACAACCACCACATAACAAAAAAAAAACCCCAACTCGCCACCAGATTATAACAATGGAGAGAATGCAAAATACAGCAAAAGGGATAGAGACGGCTTCAAGCACCATCACAGCCCATCAAAAATCTCAAAAGCGCTACTATACCATCCCTACTAGAAATACCTAAATGGTGAAACCCAACTTCGATTTTTTACCATAGTCAACGACTTAACCGAAAGCCTTTCAAGCAACAATGATCCAAGCCCAGATTCGGTACCACCATCAACAGCATGGAATACCAAGAATCCTTGAAGCCTAGTGCAATTATCAGCAAGTCTGTCAAGATACAGATCAACAATTTCCTTGCCAATGGTGTAGTGTCCTCTAGCAAAGTTATTGGCAGCATCCTCCTTCCCGCTGATGAGCTGTTCAGGGTGGAAGAGTTGGCGATAAGCTCCAGTGCGAACCTCATCGATCACAATAGGCTCGAGATCTACAAACATTGCCCTCGGGACATTTTTTCCATGAAGCCCATCCATTACTGCCTTGATCCAATCTTATCCAGTGCGATGAGGGAGTTTCGGTGCCGAATTAGGGATGGGTGCGACGCCGATAGGGAAGGTAGAGAGACCAAGAAAAGAAAGATGGAGATGGAAAGGGAGAGGGAGAGGGAGAGGAGGAAAAGTTAATTAGGGTTTGAAATTTGGAATGATTATTATACAATTAATATTTAATATATAGACATAAAATATCTGATTTTTGAAATATCAAACTTCCAATCTGATTTTGGAATGTTGAATATTTAATGTATGGTTTTGTATAATTTTCACTTTAAAAAATTGAGTTCAAAATTAGATCTGTGTTTGGGCTGCCACGTGATGTAGCCCAGTCCAACCCCTTTCGATTTGCTTAACTTCTATACTTAAGCCTCCATTTGGCAAATATATAAATGATTTATAAAGATGAATCATTTTGGATGAAGTGTGGATAATAATAAATAATAATTATGAATGAATGGTTGAAATTAATTTTGACTTTAACTGAATTTATAATAATAA